GTTCATAATGGCCAGAAAGACTCTATTCTTCATACTTGAAGAACAAATTCAATAACGATTTGTAACACTCGAATTTCTGATACGGAGGATCATCTCTAAGATGCAACCGTAAAGCATACTCTCGTCATATTACAAACCGAGCTCTAGAGGGTAGAGACTCGTGCTGATAACGTGTTATAAAACTAGAGGGAAAAGAGAGAGAATAGAAAAAATGTTTCTCTTAGGTACAATTTTTATTATAACTGAAGCTCCTATATATAGGAAACTTCTGATGGCACAACCGTAATAATATAATTACATCGGGGGCAAAATAGTCATTTACATATATTATTTTATAACAAATAATTCATAACACAATTGATATTAAAATACCTAAGTTACTAAATAATCTTTATGGAATGTTCGAACCTAGATTATTAATTATTAATATATCAATATTATTTGTTCAAACCTAATTACGAAACATGATTCTTCGCCAAGTAGGATTCCGAATCACCAGAAGCAGCCGCATAGGCTCAGCACATTCGGAAATTATATATAGGGGGATTGAAAGCTACGGGCACCCGACTGGAAATGGGCAAGAACGCCGCCCTGTCCAACTCGTTGACCAGAGGTCGGAGCCGTGCCCGAATTTACATCGGGCTAGTTCAGGGTCATATACATATAACATATGACCTGGCGGGCCAGGTCAAGGCCGGGCCACGGACTCATCCCTTTTTTGAAAGTTTTTCGGGTCAAGCTGGGATCGTGGTCAAAATGGATCGGACCGCTTGCAGATCAACGGTCCAAAAATAGGACTGTTAGAAATCAATGGTCATAATTTTTTTATTTTTTTAGGACGGGTCCCAGGTAGGGTCTAGTTCTAGGTTAGAATCGGCCCGCTGGATAACCAACAGTCAATTATTTTCTATCAAGTTGTTGGATCATTTGTCAGTTGGAGATCCAACGACTAGAGGACCAATAGACCGCCGACCCGCACTTGGCAGGTCCCAAGATTTAAAAGAAAAAATAAATATAAAAAAAAAATCATAAACAAATTTTATAAATACCTCCACCAACAA